CTGTTTCTATTATTTATTGTTGAACTATTATAGCGAGAACTGTCAGCTCTTATCTAATCTTACCCAATGGCGCCAATGCCCCTTTAAAATGCCCCTTATAAATCTAGTTTAAAATCCAAATATTTGTCTAAACTTTAGACAGACCTTATGATCTACTAGTATTCTCCAGTTGGTCAATTTCACTGCAAGTCAGTCAAAACGGCCAAACATGACTGGCGAAAATATACTATTCAAAAAAAGTAGGGGATATTTGATTTTGGGGGCATAATACTAAAATATGCAAATGACTACGAAAAAAGTCACTATAGAACCTAACAGAAGAAACATTTCCAGTTACATGTGACGCCCAAACGCACCAATAGCTACCGCATGGAATGCAGGTGATGCTTGGGATCATCATGGGGGTCCAACCCAAGATTTGCACGACTCTGACTTTGAATGTTACAGTCATTGTGGCATTGAATTCCAGGGTGGAAACATCAGTTTAATTGTTTTAGTGACCAGAAAACAAATTTTGATATGCGTCAGCTTACCCAAAATGAAAGGTTACGTGCCCTTGGCATGCTACAGATCGGCACAACACAGGCGGTTGTGGCGCGGACGATGAATGTTTCTCAGTCTGTCAGAAGCAGGCTATGGTCCAGATACCGTGATACACAATCTGTACAGGACAGTCCACGCTCAGGTCGACCAAGGGCGACAACTCAAGCCCAGGATCGATTTATCCGTACCTTGGCCTTGAGAAATCGTGTCATCACAGCAAATCAGATCAGCGCTCGTCTTCAAACAGACACTGGTTTGAGAGTGAGTGGCCAGACGATTCGGAATCGACTGCATAGGGGTCACCTTCGCGCCCGACGTCCTCGCGTGATCCCTTGTTTGAGAGATCATCACATTCAGGCAAGACGTCGTTGGTGTAGGGATCGTCAACACTGGGATAATCGACGCTGGAGCAATGTGATGTTTTCAGATGAGTCAAGGTTCACTGTTGATTTTTTGGACAGACGTAGGAGGGTGTGGCGTCGTCGAAACGAGCGCTTCCAAGACGTTAACGTCATCAGACATGATCGATTTGGGGGTGGTTCTGTTATGGTGTGGGGAGGCATCACTGTTGCTGGAAGAACGGATTTACATGTTGTTGCAGGGCGTGTTACAGGCCAGTACTACCGGGACAACATCTTGGCAGTCCATGTTGTGCCGTTCGCACGACGTCATGGCCGCCGTTTCATCTTCCAGGATGACAACGCAAGATGTCACAGGGCCAGGATCGTTACAGGTTACCTCCAACAACAGAACATCACCACATTACCTTGGCCAGCACTGAGTCCCGACCTCTCCCCCATCGAGCATGTCTGGGACATGCTTGGACAGAGGTTACGTCAACGTCAACAACGTCCTGCCAATGTCCAAGAACTTGCTGCTGCGTTGCAACAGGAATGGGACAATCTGGACCAAAATGACCTTAGACGTCTCATTAGGAGTATGCCACGTCGGATCAATGCTTGTTTGGCAAACAGAGGAGGATTTACCCGTTACTGACTTGGTTGTGATGCTGTGGTAACTTTGCTGTTTGACCCCGGGTATCATTTTACTCTTATAATGGTCAGTCTGTGCCTTACTTAGTCTAACGATCATTTGGAATAAATCGATGAATGTGAACTTCATTTCATTTTGTCATTTGTTTCTTCGTCAGTTTCATTAGGTGACTTTAATAACACTTAAAAATCAAATATCCCCTACTTTTTTTGAATAGTATAAGACAAATAAGGTTGGAAGTACCTTCAAAACAAACCATGGCACTTGAATCAATGACAGACCTTATGATCTAAAGCATACATCAGACCACTCAACCACACAACTGGTAAAGACTTTAGACAAATATTTGAATTTTAAATTAGAAACAAAACCATACTGTTGAAGATGTAATTGAGACAAGACATTAGACTAGCACTTATATTTATTAGCAAAAAAAAGCCAACAATTTGATTGGTTTTAGTGCTTAGCCAATCAAAATTGAAATTTCTACTAAAATTTGGATTTGATCTTAGTTAAAATTTCCCTACTTTTAAGTTCTGGTAAAATGTCCTTATGTGTCGGAAGTTCTGATTTGTCGACTAAACGAAAGCGACCAGACTGTCCACCGTTGGCTTTGAGAAATGCGACAATTTTGATCGGTGACATACTTTGCGTTACAATGGTGTACATCTGATTTCTAGTGGAATGATTTATAAAGCGAACTGGAACGGGGAGGTTATACAGTAAGCCGTTAATCTGGCGTGTGATATGATGAGGGAAAGCAGGTCCAAACAGTAGATCTTTTAGCATTTTAACTTTTATGAATTCGTCTAGTCGTGCCTGGGCAGCTTTTAAAATAAATCTATCAGCATGACGGTAATGTGGTTTTCTAGGATATTTCTTCTTAGCCTGTGAATCTGTTACTTCTTCCTTCATTTCAACATCTGTGTCACTGGTCTCAGTTTCTGAATCAGTTCCCTCAGCTGTAGTAGCTGTAACGTTTTCTCCTGCATCCTCGGCAGCTTTCTTCAACACCTCCGCTTCTTTAAGCAACGTATCAAAACTGACAGATTTTATCACTTGATCAGGTTTAGTGTAAGCAGAAACCTGGAATGAAAAACGATTTACTAAGACATGATATCTAGGTTAACTTTAAATAATGGCATTCATCAATTAAAGGTCAAATCTGTGCCTAGCCAGGAAGGCATTTTTATGTGCAATACAAGAGCAGAACGAAAACCAAGGTGGCTCAGTACATGAGGTGCCAGCTCTGTGGATAAGCCATCGGCTCAGGGGTTAAGCCACCAGCTCAGTTGGTAAGACAATGTCTCAGTGGGTAAAGACCCACCTCTGTGGGTAAACCGCTGGCTCGGTGGGTTCTGACTCGATGTGTAGGACACTGGCTCATTGATAAGAATCTGTTTTTAATCTGGCCAATGAAGTTCCTCAGGTTTTTCCAGCCTTTTTTCGTCTTGTTGCAAGGGCAAGATGGACTGGACAAGAAAAAAGGTCCCTTGTATAGCCATTGGCAGCATGTTGACGGAACGGGAAAAAAATGCACGATACTGGACATGAGATTCTACTCCTTGTCACATACAAGCTTGGCTCAAATTGATTCAAGGACATATCTTATGATCTAAAGGGCATGCATTAGACCACTAGACCAGCCCACCCATATATCAATCTTCTGGTGTTGTCACAGGATAACCCTGCTCAAGGGACAGAAACGTTGCTTCAGTGAAAGGGTGTAGAAATGCAATGCTTGGCTAAATTGGTTTTTATACGCCCACACTGAAATGTGGACGTATATTGCCGTCGCCCCCGTCCGTCCGTCTGTCGGTCCGTCCGTCCATCGTCCACAATTTCTTGTGGACGCTCTAACGCCAAAAGTTATCATCCAATTGTTTTAAAATTGGTATATGTTGTTTTCATTAGTGAGATGAAGAAGCCTATTTAATTTCAATAACTTCCGTTTATTACGTCTAGAGTTATGGCCCTTGTTTCACTTTGTTGAACCTTGTGAACGCTCTAATGCCAAAAGTTAACATACGATCTTTGTGAAATTTATATGCAATATTTATGTTAGTGAAACGAAGAAGCCTATTGAATTTCAACAATTTCTGTTTATTACGTCTAGAGTTATGGCCCTTGTTTCACTTTATTGAACCTTGTGAACGCTCTAACTCCAAAAGTTATCATCCGATCTTTCTGAAATTTACATGCATTATTTAAATTAGTGACACAAAGAAGCCTATTGAATTTCAGCGATTTCCGTTTTTTTACGTCTAGAGTTATGGCTCTTGTTTCACTTTATTGAACCTTGTGAACGCTCTAACTCCAACAGTTATCATCCGATCTTTCTGAAATTTACATGCATTATTTAAATTAGTGAAACGAAGAAGCCTATTGAATTTCAGCAATTTCCGTTTATTACGTCTAGAGTTATGGCCCTTGTTTCATGTTATTGAACCTTGTGAACGCTCAAACGACAAAAGTTATCAACCGATCTGTATGAAATTTATATGCATCATTTAAATTAGTAAAACAAAGAAGCCTATTGAATTTCAGCAATTTCCGTTAATCATCTAGAGTTATGGCCCTTGTTTCACTTTGTTGAATCTTGTGAATGCTCTAATGACAACAGTTATCATCCGATCTGTTTGAAATTGATATGCATGATTTAAATTAGTGAAACGAAGAATCCTATTGAAGTTCAGCAATTTCCTTTAATTACGCCATGAGTTATGGCCCTTGTTTCACTTTGTTGTACCTTGTGGTTGCTTTAACGACAAAAGTTATTATACGATCTGTATGAAATTTAAAGGTATCGTTTAAATTAGTAAAACGAACAAGCCTATTGAGTTTCAGCAAATTTCCGTTAATTACATCTAGAGTTATGGCCCTTGTTTCACATTGTTGAATCTTGTGAACGCTTGAACGACAAAAGTTATCACCCAATCTGTATGAAATTCATATGCATCATTTAAATTAGTGAAATGAAGAAGCCTATTGAATGTCAGCAATTTCTGTCAATTACTTCTAGAGTTATGGCCCTTGTTCTACTTTGTTGAATCTTGTGAACGTTCGAACGACAAAAGTTATCATCCGATCTGTATGAAATTGATATGTATTATTTGAATTAGTAAAACGAAAAAGTCTGTCGAATTTCAATAATTTCTGTAGATTACTTCCTGAGTTACAGCCCTTGTTTTAGTTTTTAGAACCTTGTGAACCCTCAAACGACGAAAATTATAATGTCATCTGTATGAAGTTGTCTATTAAATGCCCCCTAATTACCTACAAAAGAACAAATATACGACAACTCTTGTCGACCGCTCGGACGATTTAGCTGCTGTGGGCGTATGTTTAGTTGCCTGGCAACCTATCTTTATATAATGTAGGCCCTATTTAGCTCAGGAATCCATAGCCCTAAAGCTAATTCAAGTATTCAATAGAATAACTTACCTCTATGACTGATTGTGTTTCGTAGAGCTTAAACAAGAAATCAGCTGCTGCAAAATTTCTAGAGCCTATCTTACTAAGAGACACTGCAGGTTCGGTTCCAACATCTTCCTTCTGTATCTTCATCTGACATCTTAAAGTAAAAAAAGAGAGAAATGGGGATTAACACTCACACAAAACAAACCAACATTTTTGGACTGACACCCAGGAGGTTTGACTCAATGAAAGACCTTATGAGCTTGGACCACTCAACCACCCCTAAAAACAAAAGAAGAGTAACAAGCAAACTGAACATTTCAAAATTTTGATCAATGGGACAAGACTAGATCTTAAAGCTACAATTTCATATTTGTTAAGTTATATTTTTAAAATTTATTAAAAAAAAGCCTTAAAATAGATGGTATCCATACACAGTCCTACCTTGTTAAAGAATAATCCTATTAATCCTATAATTCACTATTGCCAGCTGCGAAATTGGCAAAATTATCATTTTCGAATTCCAACATTTGAAGATAGCTAATGCATGGAGGCAATAGGAAAACAAGGGAGGTAATTGTGTTATTATTTCCTGTGTCAATGATTTTTAAGGGTGGGAAATAATGCCCATAGTCGTATAATAGTGAGTTGATAACCTATTGAGCAAAAGACATAGAAATAATTATGTTTTGACTTTCATAGAAAATATGAAATTCTGGCTTGAAGGCTAAGGCCAGGAAACACAGCCTAGGTCTTACAGTTAAGGCCGGAAGACGCAAGACTACAGTAGGTCTTAAGAGATTCAAGACTAGGTCTTAAGAGACACAAGACTAGGCCTTACAGTTGAGGCCAGAAGATACAAGACTAAGCCTTACAGTTGAGACCGGAAGACACAAGACTAGGCCTTAAGATTATGGCCGGGAGACCAGACTAGGCCTTAAGGCAACTTACCTGAATACACGATCATCATTGTCAAAAAACTCCCATTCCAACAACATATTGTTGACAAAACATGAATGTTGTAAAATATAGAAACCTTGAACTTTACGATCTACTATCCAACTGACGTCCTCAAAGACAACGATATCCTTGGCTGGTAGTGTTGATATAGGTTTTCGGGTCCATTGTAAGCGATGAAGATTCGAACAGTTATCTTCCAAAATGCAGTTGCCCTTGACACGAAAGTCGATAACATCTGTTGCTGCTTGGTCGTGTGGTTGAAGTTTACTGTGTTGGGGGAGGATGAACTCGGGGTCACAGTTCGTCAAAACCTCTCGGGCTTTAGAGTAAGCGTCTGCTTGGGCATCTGTTCGGTTCTCTGCTTCACCAATCATGATGAGATGACCAGCTAGATAGAGGTTACAGAAAATTTTCTCCTTTTCTATTTCTGTGTTCATGCTACGACGGTACAGACAAATGGGCGTCAATTTTACATCGTTGAAAATTCCATCCAAGACAGTAATGATGGATGCAGGATGCGTGGCACTGCTAAGTTCGTTCATTTTGACAAACTGTTCACGGAGATCAAATGCCCTAGGATTTGGTGCTGCCTTTACCAAAGTGCTCTGAACCTATGCTTCTGCTTCTGTTATGACAGACTGTTCGACACCATCTAAGATGTTGCCATGTTCAACATTCATGGTGGTCAGTCGTTCAACCACCATATTATAACACAATGACTTAGCAGTTTTTTTGGAAACTGAAACACCTGCACCTTGTAGTATGTTGTCAATAAAGTACATGCCCTTATGATAAACTTTCCCTGATTCAGCTTTACAACTCTCTACATCATATCGACAACGGACTCGACATTTAGCCACAGAGGCCGCCAACTCCATTTTGCTGATTGAATTGGTTGAAGCATATTTAGGATTGGTTAGAATATCTTGGATCTGTTTCAAAATAGATGGTGGGGGTAACTCTGCAATTGTTTCTTTCTCCATCTTAGCAACGGTCGAGTTAAAATTCTCCAGTTTCTCCTTGATAACTTTTGGGGTCATATCATCCTGGTTCAAAATTTCAGTGACAGGAAGGGTACGATAAAGTTCCACCGCCTTCTTGAAACATGACAGTTTGATTTCTTTCTTGTTGATGCCGATAGCTCTGGCTAGGAACACACCACCCAGATTAAGTCGGCCAGTGAAAAAGGATCCGTTCTTTCCTTGTACCATGCCATCGATCAAAAAATCTGGTCTAATTCCAACTTTACAACTCATCAGAGAATTCTCAAACAACTAAAATGAAATAAAATAGGATTTAATGGGAAAGAGAGGAAAATGGGCTTTATTGTTCACTCGACACTAGGTCATTTCGGGACTAACATATAGTTCATTTTATTTCATTAGGGGTCTTTAGCAGTGGAAGGAAACCCTGAGGACATGGAGAAAACGCACGAGGTTGAACAGACGACCCTACTCCTTGTCACGTACAAGCGGGTAATGACGCATTAACGCTTCGACCACCCAAACTCGCCCCACTGGTCTTATGTAGATGGGCAAATAAAAGAATTTTATACGTAATACATGCTTGAATAAAAATAAAAATAAAGCAGAATCTGTGTTTTTAATGAGATTATTGTGAAAAATATTAAACATGCATTATGCAAGAGCTAAACCTGTCAATTTCAGGTCTTTCTTTAGGCCTGAAATCTTATCTAAATTATTAATTAGACATTAATTAACTTATCCAGACCATAATAAACTCCCGATGTCAAGGCTAGCCTTCGATGTCGACTGGATTACAATTCTATATGCTGCTATCGCTCATTGATAATTAAATCACAACAATAGACAATCGAGACTATTAGTTTCGAGGCTAGGCGAAACTTTCATCCGCTTAGTTTTCGGTTCATAGTGGACCAATTTGACTGACATTTTCAGCAAATTCCCTTTACATTATGTAGTTTTTAACTATTATAGTGAGAACTGCTAACTCGTTATCTTATCTCCATCTCCCATAATGTATCTTTAATAAATAAAACCTCACCATAATTTCATTGATTACTTTTTTTTCACTTCGTAAAAACATTGAAAGTCGTCGAATTTTTTCTGCTAGCGGCAATTTTGTGGCATCGATTGGTTCTGGGTTGGGTGTTTTGTGTACAGCGGCAGCAGGCAGACCTTTGTTATCAATGGGGCGTGTCTGGCAGCCTGGTAATGTTTCCCATTTCTTCTCTGTAAATAAACCATTAAAAAATGTAGTTTGTTAAAGATGCATTTAGTAACTGTATTGAATAAACCATGACTAATATACCGGTGTATTAAATACAAGTTTTTTCACAGTTCATTTCTGACGACGTCTTGAAAAGTGTTCTCTTGTATTTATCAAGCCACAAACAAAATAAACTTCTAAATAACTTGTATTCTGAATATTGTTTAGTGCCCAGGTTCACTTTGCTCATTTCTGTTGATCAGCGGCTGGGGAGGGGGGGGGGGGATAGGTTTTACATTTAGATTCAGAACGAACATGATTCTTCTACAGCCATCCTTTTTACAGTGGTTACAACTTAAACATACAGGTTTCAAGTTTAACTGACTACCATGACTAGAGAATAGAATAACGTGATTTATCAACGAATTAACAGAATTTTAAAACAAAATTAAAAGCTTTTGAGCAGTAGTACGGTAAAAATTATGTGTGTCAAAAAGATAAGCACCACCGTTTAAAATGGGGTCTGTTTGATATTTAACCATCAACAATAAATTCAGATGGTTTTTATTTGGAACCATGTAATATCCATCACAAAATACTTCCAGCATAAGTCTTGCCACTCCAAGAAGAATAGTGTCAGGTTCCTTTGGTACCATGGTACTAATCAAACAAGAGGTGTTGAGGACGTGATCCAAGTGAGAGAGGGGGGGGGGTTGGATGGCTGAATGGTTAGCGTGCGCGCGCTGTATCATAAAGTCTGTCATTCAGTCAACTGGCGTGGTTTCGAATCCCCGGTTGTACGTGACAAGGAGTAGGGTCGCCTTTCCAACCTTGTGGGTTTCCTCCGGGTCCTCCGGTTTCCTCCCACAGCTAAAGATCCCTACGCGCAAGCGAATTATGGAAATAAAATTGAACCATATGTTAGTCGAGTGGACGTTAAACCCCATTTCTCTCTCTCTCTCCAAGTGAGAGAGGGATACACATGACGATGGTTATCACTACTCTTGTCTGTAATCCTCATCCTTTTCCTGACCAGATCATCTAATGGACTCCTATATTTTTCGAAATCCTCAATTAAAAAATATCTATTACTTAAATGACCAAATATTCCTGTCTTGTTTTACTTTAAGGTGGTCCTTAACCTTTTGTCAGTTGTATTTATTTTTATAACTTACTTGCACCACCGGCACTGTTTGCGGGAGTTCCAACACCTCCTATAGAATTCAACTCATTGTTAAAAATATAATTTGCGGGTCACGGAAAGATAACTCTGTTTGGAAACATGGTTTGGTGTAGAGGAGTAACCGAAGTTGGCCGAGTGAAATCTGCAGCCGGTTGCCGAGTGAAAAATAGAAAGTAACTCATTGAAGATCCAGTATTGTGCCTACAAGTCTGCTTCCAAGAGCAGCCATGTTTCCAAATAACAAATTCGCTGTAAAGTGCGCATGCGTAGTAGCTCGTGTTGTGTCGAAATCAACCTGGCATACAATAAGTCACCATACACTACTAAAAGGTGGCTAATCTGTGCGTGAACGGTATAAATCTCTGTCTGGAGTGTTATTTGTACATCTATCGAAAGAAAATTAATTTCCCGATTATTACTCGGTATCAACGCTATAAAATTTAAATAAGGTGCGTTAATTAACAAGGGTGAGAAATTGGCTAAGAGGTAAGTTAATTAACGCGAGGGGTTTAAAACTGTGCGATGGTGCGTTTTCTGTAGAGGTGTGTTAATTAACGCTAAAGAGTGAAGGGAGATAAATCGGAGTTTAACGTCCACTCGACACAAACTATGTCATTTCGGGACTAATTTATTGTTCAATGTTATTTCAATACCAGTGGGGGTACCGGTGGACCCGGAGAAAACCCACGATGTTGGTTTTCCACGATGTCGGGGGTCGTGGCTGGGTGGGGTGGGGCGCAAAAATAATCTTGTCAACTTTTGTCTCAATTGCGATTAGGTAACCACATGGCATTTTTGTCTAATAGTGTTACGCAATTAATATTCTTACACAGTGTCGGCCCCTGCCCCACTGTATCTTAGGCTAAATCTATTTTAAGACCACTTCCAGATTTCGTCAAGGCGTTGTGATTATTAAAACCTAATCAAATCATTGTATATACTCCACAACATGTTACCCATTAATCAATTCGTGTTAATTTCATGTAAAGTGGTCTATATTTCGTATTGAATGTTGTTATTAGCATTAAACCTTTATAATGCTTAGGTACTTGTAATTAAAGGGGTATCTCTGATTTGGTCAGCATTAACTAAGTATTGTTGTGTACATGTATATATTGTCTAGTTATATTTTCATATTTTATCATTGCTTGATAATGACTAGAGAAGCCTAGCCGAAACGTCACTCAGTAATAAGCAGTAATTGTATTCCATTGAATTGTGTTCTATATATTCCAGTTCAATTACTAAATGTCACTGAAACACGGTTCCCACTATCACGATTGGGGCTACTAATGAAATCATGGTTTTAATCGTGGGGTAATTGTGATGATCCTATCAGGTCTGATAATATATTGAGGTCAGTCAGGGCAATCATGTTGATCGTATCGAAACGTGTTCGAACGGATCTGCACGTAGCAGATCGTGGACTCAATAGCAATCTGATTAAAATACATACACGTGTATCTATATTTCGTTTCGTTTTTTTATACTTTCATGAAGATCTGACCGGCTGTAGCGATAGGTCGTGTCAGAGGTCATACGAGCGGCTTTTGATGTTACTAGTGGATTACCCACAGTTCTGTGCAAAACACACCTGAAGCTCGCCGTAACAGACCGTTTCATTGACTTGAAAATGAAAAGAAATGAAATGGGGTTTAACGTCCTACTATTTTGCTCCTAACCTGGGCTAATGAAGACGGCCATACGCCACACAGTGTGCTATGAGGGAAATTTTGCCCGGGCAGCGGCGCTATGGCCTACTCTTATATCGAATTCCAACTGCCAAGGTATCTTTTACGTACACGCCAATGTGTACACGGGACCTCGGTTTTTCGTCCCATCCGAACGACTAGACAGCTGTCCTTGTCAGGCCCCCCATCCTGCATCACTGACAAGAGGGAAACCGCCGGAAAATCTGGATGAACTTTCTCGACCAATGCAGGGATCGAACACCCGACCTCCAGGCCAGCGAGCCAGCGTCTTACCCACTTAGCCACGTGATCCCCCGTTTCATTGACTAATTCCTCACATCATCCAGAAAGCGGGTTATATAACAACTCTTCCAGATCCTAGTGTAGTAAAGACAAGTAAAGCGAAATTCTGAACTATAAAAACGAAACGAAATAGGATCTGTGTTTTAATCAGATTGCCTCAATAGGTACAATCCTATCGTAACGCATCACACAACAGAGGGAACCTAGTATAAACAAATTTACCAATGACATTCTAAACATACACTCTACGTTCTAGTGTGTTCACTTTACTTCACCGGGTTCAACACACTGATCAGCTGTAAATATTCGATAGGCCGCGACAATCACTGATAAGGATGACATCGATGCGACTTAATGAGCCACAAATATTAACTTTTTTCATCCGACAAATTAAATTCTAAATCATTTTTTTTATGTATTAGAAAAATAAATAAAGACGTTTGAAGTATTTCTAGGTAAAAATTATTTCCTATTTTAGTGTAAATAGGTATTAAAATGAGTGAAAGGCATCATTCTGCTCGTTTCAGTAACGTTTTACGTAAACATTGCACCCGCCATGGAGCCTATGATTGAGTGATTGACGCCGCGTGATATGACGTCACGTGTTGAAGGCAGTCATCTTTACACAGATATTAGAAGACTTTCGTAATACTCTGTGAAACAGATTGCGAGTTCAACTGTAACAGTGGCATCTTGGAATATCATAGAATAGGATAGGATAACTGAGACAGTCTTGCGAACGGAGCACATCGCGAGGTCCCGAGATAGGCCTAGTAAGATCAGCCGAACTGTCATTTTTTTTAAATGAGACATATGAGTTTGACCTTTTAGCAGGGGATCGTTATTAATGTATACAGAGACACGAATCTTCATAAACACTTATTCTACAGGGATTCATAATTATGCAAACGTTTTTCCCAATTAATTTGTATAATGACATGCTTCCTGACGTCGGTGACAAATGTTCTAAGGCGGGCGCTATAGATCGTAAATTTTGTCATTGAGTCAAGTGGAGTGGTTCCGATTTCTCGCTTGTATATGACAATAAGTAGGGTCGCCTGTCCAACCTCTTGGGTTTTCTCTGGGTCCTCCGATTTCCTCCAACTGCTAAAGACTCTAATACAAGCCCCCCCCCCCCCCCCCACACACACAAAGGCCCGCAACTGCAAAAAGTTTCGCCCCCCCCCCCTCCCTGTGAAAAAATTGTCGACCATAAAAAAAATAGATATACATTGTCCGTCAATTATACAGCACCCCTGAGAAAATCCCCCCCCCCCCCCCCGTTGCTCTGAGCTAGTTACGGCCCTGCCCCCCCCCCCCCCCCAATGCATACACTATTACACACACGCTAATGATGTAACAAAATACCGATAGATTAAGTACCGAGGGACCGAGTTAAATACCAGCCTACTTTATCATTTTCACTTTACAAGGATTATTTTAGACAAATTTTATTGGTTTTTCATAGATCATAAACACTGATAAGGGTGTATACTAGTATTTACATTAGGATTGACTTTAATATAATATACAAAAATAAATATAGTGTATACTGTTTAATATAAACCATATATTCCACTATAATTATACTAAAACTACATTCTAGTTTACTATACATACCTACTTTCAATTTACAATACATCCCTACTTTCAATTTACAATACATCCCTACTTTCAATTTACAATACATCTCTACTTTCAATAGAATACAGCTCTACTTTCAGTTTAAAATACATCTCAACTCTCAACTGTCAATAGAATAAAGCTCTACTTTCAGTTTAAATTACATCTCAACTTTCGATTTACAATATATCTCTACTTTCAGTTTATAATAAATCTATACTCTCAATTTACAATAGATCTCTACTTTCAATTTACAATAGATCTCTATGTTCAGTTTAAAATACATCCCAACTTTCAATTTACAAAACGAAAGATAAATATAGAGTCTGAGAAGTATTCGAACTAAAAATATATTGGTAAAAGAATTATTTAAATTGGTCAATGTAAACTAATATCTATTTGAAGTTTACTTTAGTTTGTATTGATTTCATGCTGCTATTGGTCGTTCAGAACTACGGCTCTCAAACGCAAAACTTGAGAATAGTAGTTTGATAAAATTACCGAAGTGACTGCAACAAAATCGAAATTTTGGCGTTTTTACTGGTTGACTAATCACGTGAAGCTTCTTGACTGATCAGGGTTTTGAACTATTTTTCTAAAAATTTCATGAGTGCCTTTAGGGTGGAATTAACTTTTTACGTGATGTTTACAATTCCGCGAATATCCTTGATTCCAGATTGCAAACAGATGGCGATAATTAATTCTAACAACCGACAGGTTCACAATTTGTAATTTGTCGGTCTGCGCCCATGCTTAACTTATAAGAGTTGCTTCCCTTTAATCAGTAGGTCATTGTTCACAAATCTTCTGCTTTCACATTACGATAAATACACAATATTTAACGATACACACTATTAAATGATGTTCAAAAATACTTTGATTTATAAAATAAAATAGAGGTTTATACACGGTTTATATCCTGCACGAATATTTTTTTTATTATTTATATGAAATGGCACTATGTACATCACTGTCTATAGAGGTATTCTTCAGCAGAATAGAATGTTTTATTCCTTCACGAATTTCTCTTCATATAGTCCTGGCATGTTCCACAACAATTATACCGGAAGTTGGAATAACGACACATTTTTAACATGCCGACTAGATTACAGTATCGTGACTTATCTTCACATTCTGAAATAAGAATTGAAATGAAATTAAATGGGGTGTAACGTTCAATTTTTCTGCATCGACATGACTAATGAAGACGGGTATACGCCATGTATTGTTTGGATGAGACGAAAAACCGAGAACCCGTGTACACATAGGCGTGCACGTAGAAGATCCCTTGACAGTTCTAATTCGAAATAAGAGTGAACCATAGAGTCGCTGTACGGGCAAAATGTCCCTCAAAGCACATTGTGTGGCGTAAACAGAATCATGACAATTGTTTTGCATTGTAAGTAAGGAGGTTTGTCCGGTTCATTAGAAAGGCTCTCATAGGTTTGGCTCAAAAATAAAGGTTTGGATTTCCACGTCCGACGCAGTATGCTAAAATGAAATAAAATGAGTAAAAAAGTCAACTTCCGTTTTATCTTTAGAAACAAAACTCTAATTATAGGTTGTCCCATAAACACGAAAGATCAGATCATATTTTGTCCTTACTCAAAGGTGGTCATTAGTTCCATGAAAAAACATAATACAATTTGTGCGACTCGTTAGTTGACAGTTTAAAAGTGTATATGTAAGCGATGGCTTGGTATACTTCATTCCAGTAATCTGGACAAAATCTATAAATTTAAAGCAGATCTTGTGATATCATATGCCACTAAAACGTTCACAAGATTCTGAGAAGTTCACAAAGGCCATATCTCTAGATGTAATTAATAGTAATTTGATGGAATCGATACCAAGTAATCTAGTATAATATAAAAATTTCAATTGTTAAAGGATTGTATCTGTTTGATTTGATTTTAAAGGGAGAGAGAGAGAGAGAGAAATGGGGTTTAACGTCCAATCGACACAAACTAGGTCATTTCGGGACTATAATATGGTTTAATTTTATTTCAATAATTCGCTTGCGCGTAGGGGTCTTTAGCAGTGGGAGGAAACCGGAGGACCCGGAGAAAACCCACAAGGTTTGGACAGGCGACCCCACTCCTTGTCACGTACAACCGAGGATTCGATACCACGCCAGTCGACTGATTTTAAAGGGGCATTAGATAAGATAAAGAGCTGACAATTCTCGTTATAATATTTAAAAAAGAAATAATGAAAACAGAATATGCTGAAAATTTCAGTCAAATTGCTTCACTCTGAAACGAGATTCTGGCGTTTTAATTTTAGGCTAGCCTCGAACATCATTACTAACTTTGGTGCGATAATAAACCAAGTCCCACTTATCCACTTTTTCGTTAAATTATCTATCAAAAAATCTATTCAAATCCACTAAACATCACAGGCTAACGATGACACCAAGTTAATTAATGTCTAATTAATAATCTAGATAATCAAGTCTATGTTTAAACTTAATATTCATATATGTTATTTTGACATTTTAATTACGAACAAACTGTAAGACCGTAGGAGTGGCATAGACGAAACTGCGAATTGATAGATGGTATTAATATTATTAAATTAGGGTCATATTGCCCACATATCACTTACATAATTTAGGAAACACTTCCTGTCTTAAAGGTTAAATATAATTCTTTTAACCATGAGGATTGCGCAAACATATAGACAACATTTGACTTTGTGTTACACATAACTAGATATTGAACGAATCAATGCTCTATCATTATCTGCATTGCGCAATATTAAATAGTGGCAAATTATAAATTGCTCAAATTGATGGTTTTGTACTTTAAATGACATTTTCCACAAGAATTGATTAAACTGTGTTGATTTGGGTTTAGCTCTTTCAGTTGCACTTGGCAATACGCTTTAATGTGATTTTCAGTATAAATTACAAAGTCCGGAAAACTGTTCCCAACATATGACGGGATATCAGGAGATTTGCAGATAGCACAGATTCGTCTACAACGTCCATATGGATGATGTTCTTATTATATTTTTTTTTAATATAAAAAAATGGGAGTCAAGGTGGATCGATGACCATGGCTGGCTCACTAACCAGGAGCTCATGGGACCAATTCGTTTTGGCTGAGAAACCTTGGAATCTCCCAGCGCGGTTTATCCTTGTCCGTTGTGCAGGACGACGGGCTTGGCAGTCAAAACCCCTAGGACCGACAATACTTTGGTTATCCCCTGACCGTTTGAAATCGATGTAAGAATTGTCAGGGTATTTCACACTGCATGGTGGATGCACGTCTTCATTAGGCCAGCTGGATCCCAAAAGTAAGACCTTTTTTAAAAACCACATTTCATTAAAGCAAACAAACTATCATTAAGATTACCTGCAAGACAAGGTTTTGGTCTGCAGGTTTTCTTGGTTATTGGTCGCGACTTTGCCTTACAAGATGACCATGCTGGTTTCTTTGATCTCTTCCATAGACACGTTAATGTTCTACTTTTATATCCTTTCTTGGCACATCGAGGAAAACACTAAAACGAGAAAACGACACATACATATTATATATAAATACAAGCCCTACAAGCACAAAGACACCATGATAAGGTCTATTATAATAAAAGCAAGAGAGTCGTGGTAGTCGGTAGTTTCGTATCCAGTCGTGAGGTGAGAAGAACCTTCGGTGTTTTTGAAGTCCGATCTTCACATTTTAGTTAGACGTGACTTTGACCTTTGACCAGAACAGTAGGCCTACTCGGTCGGATCGATGGGACGACAAAACTGAGGTCCATATGTTTAAAAGAAGCCCTGACAGTTGAAAATAGAAGGACAATATGAGGAAGCGCATCTTTTCGGACAAAATTCTCGCACCTGGCATTGCACACGTAATAACAGAAATAAAAACTACCAATGTTTGTCGCACAGTAACCCATTATTGTGCTGGAAAGACATTAATCCCGGGGATTATTGGCTAAGTGGGTAAGACGCTCGCTTGCTAGCCTGGAGGTCGCGTGTTCGATCCCTGCATTGGCCGAGAAAGTTTTCCCACGTTGTTTCCCCCTTGTCAAGGACAAGGCCTGACAAGAACAGCTGTCTAGTCGTTCGGATGGGACGAAAAACCGAGGTCCGGTGTATACATTGGCGTGCACGTAAAAGATCCCTTGGCAGTTGGAATTAGATATAAGAGTAGGCAATAGTGCCGCCGCCCCGGCAAAATGTCCCTCATAGCACACTATATGGCGTATACCCGTCTTCATTAGCCCAGTCAGAGCAGAATAGTAGAACATTAAACCCCATTTCATTTCAAATAATAACCCCCATTACCCTTATGAACGTTCTAGAATAGGAAAATGGAAGGTATCTAAAGTCCACAATATGAAATCATACTCCATAATGTTACCACTGAGCGTTTGGTGGAAGAACGCATCTAGCAAACCCCAATGCACAATACGTATTGTACGATGAAGCATCACAGTTCCGGAAAAAGGAAAGGGGACGCACGGGATCTAATATACACAATATGAATTCACACGCATCGAAATGTTACCTATTAAAGTTTCATAGAAAAAAGAAACCTAGCAGTTTGTGACCAGGTTGTTGAAAACATTTTTTGACCCCAGATATACAAATAAGTAAATACAAAATAAATATAATAGTAACCTCCGTCCATTTGCTGGTTTTCCAAACACTATAACAATCAAAACTACGACACTCCTTCTTGTGTTCAGGTCTTTCTAGAGCATGACAGACCTCTAGGGATGCTCTAGTACCATTGGAATAATTACAATGTATCGCACGTTTCCTCTGGGCGTAACCATCTCGCACACACTGGTCTTTCTTACACTGAAAAATATAAACCCCAAACATTTAAAATTTATACAGCCCTTGTTTTAATGCCATTAAGTTATTAAACTTGGAATACTCTGGACATAATTCCATGGAATACCGTTTATTACTGAACTATTTCAATAATTCGCTTGCGTGTGGGGGTCTTTAGCGGTCGGAGGAAATGGCGGGAGGACCCGGAGAAAACCCACGAGGTTGAACAGGCGATCCTACTCCTTGTCACGTACAAGCGGGGAATCGAAACCACGCCCCCTGACTCAATGACAGGCCGTTAACCATTTACCCCCCCCCCCCTACATATAACACGGGTTTTTGCCAAATCAAACCGGAAATGCACTATCTATAGTTTTAATTGTTAATTGTCATTAACTGTCTTTATCGAAGACAGGTTTTTTTATAATTGTATATGACCATATGACAATATAATATAATCGCTATAGTAGCAAGTAATGTTTCTGAGTTACTTTTTCGACTTGTTACTTGGATGAAGTATTCTGAATACTTCTCGAATTCGCCAAGTGAATTTAATACCAACGCTTGGTCATTATGTAATATCAAAAGCTCTACCTACCCTAGACCATTTCCCAATTTCCCAATTTGGACAATCTTCCTGAATGAGACATTTCTGTATTTCAACTGGTTTAACCAGACCCCTCTTTAAGCATTCTCGATCATCAAGCATCTTCATATATTTAAATGTTATACGGGTACATTTCGCTTTACGTGTTTGATGTCCCGAGCCACAAGTTTTAGAACATTGGGACCAGCGTCCGGTAGTAAACACAAGTTGTTTAGTAGCATTATAATGCGGATCTCGAATCACTCCAGGTCCGCTAGCTTCGTCTTTTAATGGAAGGTTTAAGTTGGCGTTTGAGTTAGTTTCGGCCAAAAGTTGCTGCATTTCTCTTGCCTGTTTTATGGCATCTCGTTTACTCTGAAACTTTATCTCGATGTCAGCACTCTGCATTCCTGCAATACACGTGTAACTTCCTGTATCTATTGCCGGTTCAGTTTTTCGTATTCTCAGATTCCCGCTGAAAGTTGTCTGAACTCGTCCCGCCATTGGGATCAGCTTGTATCCTTTACTCCAGAAGATTAACTTTCTCTGGTAATTTTTTACCGGGCATTTGATGATAACGGATTGTCCTGGTAGCAAAACAACGTCTCCACCAATTATCAACTTTACACGCTTTGAACGTCGGAACTGAACGTAGGTATAATTTTCGGATTTGATGACCGGCGGAGGAGTTTCCACATCAAAGCAGTTTCCGGCATGACACTCTCTGGAAGTCATTGGTTTGGGTCCCATACATTCGGTATCTGACACGGTGACTTGACGACCTTGTATTGGGGATTTAATACAATATGCTCGCCTAGTTTGTAGACCAACACCACAAGATGATGAACACTGAAAAACATGTAACCATCCATTGAAAATATACAATATATATAAACAGAAGACAAAACCCTAGCTTAACAAGGACTGGGATCTCGGAACTCACTATGACGCCATCAAATCCGTCTTGGAGATGTGACGTCATATCAAAAATGTCAAGTTCAGTGGCTTAGGGCTTTTCTTTGAAGAACGTGGTCCAAGAAGAACTAGAAAGACACGGTTACCAATTTCAAATGGGTATTGCACCTTCGCTAATAAAGACAGGTCGAGCGTGTGGGAGGATATTCTCTGCAAACATCTAACTATTCCTTAACGAAACACCGTGTGTAATGTTAACAATGTGAAAATTATAATAGACACATGTGGTGATTAGAATTAAACAGTTTGATATTATCAATAAATATACGAACCTCAGACCAATCTCTGGTCATCCATCTGGAAGGACAGAACTGTGTATTACAACTTCTTTCTGACATCGGTATAGGATCGGGACACCTGAAGGTATCTACTGGATGTCTAGAAACTTTAGATAGTTCTTCTATACACTGTACTGGTCTTTGTTGTATTCCTCCACCACATTCAGCAGTACACATTCCATACTCTCCTATCTCCCACCTATATTACACAAAGGAAACTTATATGGTGTGATACCAAGACACCATAATGGTGTTTTACAAAGGAAACACATATGGTATGGTACCAAGATAACATATGGTACTATACAAAGGAAACACATGATACCAAGAAACCATTATGGTGTTATACAACGGTAACACATATGGTATGATACCAAGACACCATTATGGTATTATACAACGGTAATATCTATGGTATGATACAAAGGATATGGTATGATACAAAGGCAACTTATATGGAATGATACAAAGGCAACATATCTGATACGGTACAAAGGTAGCATATGTGGTATGGAACATATATGGTATGGTCCAGAATGATACTATTTTCAAAACCAACAAATCAAATATGTGTCTAAAAATAAAGGTACTGCTACTTTTACCTGGGTGGGCATGGTATATCATTGCAGACACGTGGTTTAACAACCGGTTTCTTTATATCAGAACAATATGATGGACTAACACTGGAACCATCTTCATTAACACATAACAGATTGGGATATTCTTCTCCTATAGAAACAAGAAAACCTTACAAATGATTACACATGACACATTTATATGGAATACAAGTTATTTGAAGGATTTAAAGACGGGAGAGCCCTCGCCGAAATGTCACTGAAATAAATCCTTCAAGTAACTTGTACTTTGATGGGAGTTCAATGCCTAGGTCTCATTGAGCATTTCTTGCCTCGGGAAGCGCCGGGAACAGATTCCGCGGTGTCCCAGTGAAACTTCGGGAGTGTTGCGAGCCATGTGGAACCATCGAGAGGCATCTGAAGAAATGTTTTTTTATTTCCACATCGCCGATGAGTTTATCCCAGTGGGAACTAGGCTTTAGACAAACTAACTGATATTTAATTAATCTGGTTATATCCTCAATGTCGGTCAATGCACCCAGCCACGCAATTGAAATTTTGCCACTTCCTAGGATAATCAGATCACCTGTATAACGTCTGAAAAACTTCATCCTGAACATTCTGGAATATACCAGAATATATCGTTCAAGTGCCGACTGTGCTAAAGATGAGATTGGTTAAATTACCTGCAAGACAACTACTGCTACAGACCGAATAATTGCCAATTTTCCATTCATATGCTGTACTATTAGTTTGATTTGACATTGGGTTTATATCGGGAATCTCCGTTTCGTCACATTCAGCCATCGCACTACACTCTTCAATCTCGACCGGACGGGTTTGGTCTGAAAACAAATCCTTAGATGAATATATAATAAAATAACAATTGAGTTATTGTCTCAAAGTGATTGATTTTTTTATATAACAAGCAATAAATATTAAGAGGAGCGTCTGGACTGATTTTATATTAACCAATTTTCAGATATAAACGAAATGTGGTTGAACGTCCTACTGTTCTAGTCCGACTTGGCTAATGATGAAGGATTTTCAGACAGTCGAGACGTCTAACCCTATTCATTCTATCTGCTGTCGAATTAAGATAGATTAAGTATTATGCTTGAGACTGGGTTTATGCAATACATGAAAGCAAATTCTTCTCTGTTTGCGATGCGGGACAGAGAGTCTGGCAAGGGACAGCATATAATCGTTCGGATGGGACAAGAGAAAGCGTGTACGTAAAAGCAAGTGCTGCTCTTCTTTCCATAATGTCTCATCAAAAGTCAATGACACATATACACAAGATACAACTCTACGGAATAAAGTTGCTTGATACAGAATACAAAATCCTAGTCATAACGTCACTCAGGAAATAAAAATAGGGACCCGTGTATTACCAGTTCAATTACTAAAATTATAATGTTATTGACACATTTTACACGTTCTTCATTTGAGACGTCCATGACAAGCAGGCAAATAATCTAAAACCCCAGATGCCTGCGTTAGGTCAACCGAGTTGGATATACACCTGTGTTTGAATCACTGTGTTCAGGCCATCTGTTTCTGAATTTTAGTTCCAAACCATTGTCCAAGTTAGCTATAAGTAGTGGGGTGTTGTAATCAGACAGGGTATGAGTACTCCTGGTAGAACATTCGTGTACGAGAAAGAATAATATGTTCTAGAACACTCATAATCGCGAGTGACTATGCCTACTCTCGTATACGAGGCAGACTATGCTTACTATTATAAGACCACCAAATACCACTTCTTATTGGACGGGTTCCCATAGGTAATACTTTATTGCTCTATTGTGTATGATTTCAACCATATATCGTACTAACTTTCTCACGAATAAAAAATATAAAATAGGTCAAAGGGCACCCGAAACGGGGACACCAAATGTTTATCACAAACTTTTAACTCCTAGGATTTTATTCCTTTGTTTCAACGCGAATAAAAAACGGTTCTAGAATTGCAACTCTGTTTCCGATTCCATTCTTGTTAAATAACTGTGTAGGCGAAAAAATCACACTTTCGACATGTGAACCCGATGTTTGACAAAGAAAATATGACAATCGTTTAAGAAATATGCTAGGAAAATATTTTGAGTGTATGGTAAATACAAAGAAATATATGTTTCGATAAAGTTTCACCACTCGACGAGAAGTGTTGTGTATGCCGACGGATTGTATTATTTATTTCCTGTTATTATATTATATAATATCTCTATCACAGAGAGAGAGAGAGAGAGAGAGAGAGAGAGGGGGGGGGGGGTTTAACGTCCAATCGACACAAACTAGGTCATTTCGAGACTAACATATGATACAATTTTATTTCAAAAATTCGCCTACGCTTAGGGGTATTTAACAATCGGAGGAAACCGGAGGATCCGGAGAAAACCCACGAAGGTTGGACAGGCGATCATACTCCTTGTCACGTACAACCGGGGAATCGCAACCACGCCAGTTGACTCAATAACAGACCTTATGATACAACGTGCACGCGCTAACCATTCGGCCATCCAACCCTCAGGATGTAGAAACAACTGATATTCGATACTTAAATACTGTAACACCGAGAAAGTAAATCTCTCTTCTCAGTGATCCAGGACAGAGAGCATGTCAAGGCACAACGAATAGTCGTTCGGCTCGCGTAAAAATTCGCTTATAGCACACTGTATGGCGTATATCCGTCTTCATTAGCCCAGTCGGAGCAGGACATTAGGACGGAAAACCCCATTTCATTTCCGATTTAAATTACAGAAGTCGAATAATTACTAACAGCTGAAACTATTGCAGGATTGACTGTATAAAAAAAAATTACATTCTTGTCGAGAAGTTCACTTTAAATATCAGATCAAATTGTCGAAAAATGGAAATTCTTACCACCACATTCTTTATCAGGTAGAATTTCAATCTGCTCTGTTTGATTGTTAAACATTTGACAATAAATCATTCTGGTCTTCACACCTTCTCCACATGTCGTACTACATACACTCCAATTACCACTTACATATCTAGTAATAAAATATACACATATACAGTGTCTTTATCACTTACATATCTAGTAATAAAATATACACACATAAGACTAAAACTGTGTATATAGAAGCATCTAGCGCTAATAGATGGACAATCACCCAGACGGATGGGTCGACGACAATGTAAGATATTCCAATTTGGGCGTATAAAAACAAAACACTCTTAATGGAACCGAACTGCTCAACAGATTGTAGAACAAAAGGTACATTAATACAGCAGAAACTCTCCAGAAAGTCCAGGGAGCGGGGCCAGATTTCATCCCATTCGAACGCCTAGACAGTTGTCTTTGTCAGGCCCTCCGTTCTGCATCACTGACAAGGGGAAACCACGCCGGAAAATCCCGATGAACCTTCTCGGCAATGCAGGGATCGAACACGCGACCTCAAGGCTAGCGAACCAGCGTCTTACCCACCTAGCCACCGTGACTCCGGTCTAAAATGAATTAAGTCCGTAGGGTAACCATAAATCTAAATAACCTTTTGTTGGTCAAAGTATGTGTTATAGATTTCTGAATGTATATTGTTTAAAGGTCATTTTAAAATGAAGAAGACAAACCTTGGTATATCAAAACGATCTCCGTCTGCCATCTCATCATCTCTGTAACCATCTTCAGTTGTAGTTACCAGGGCAACCGATTCTAAAAACATCAAAACAAACCAAAACATTTAATGCCATTCACTAAATAAAAGTAAAAAAAATCAATTAGATAAAGCCCAAGTTTTTATAGATATAAATCTATCATTACGTTTTATAAAGTGTTTTAACAGTAGGACTTTTAATCCCATTTCATTTCATTTCATATAAAGTGTTTTCTTGATATAATGTTTCAAACGTAATATACAGGAACGCTTGTGATATTCTTAAAATTAAATAAATGAAATGATTTAAACGTCCAATTGTTCTGTACCGACTGGGCTAATGAATACGGGCATATTCAATAAAGTGTGCTATGGGGGAAATGTTGCTCCGGCAGCGGCACTATGGTCTGCTCTTATTGAGAATCCAACTCTTAAGGGTTAGTTTACGTGCACGCCAATGTACGGTTTTTCGTACCATCCGAATGGTTAGACACTGTTCGTTGTCAGACCCTCCACCCTACACCACTGGAAAGGGAAAACCACAGCTTACTCACTGATCAACCGCTAATCCCTTTAAATTGAATAAACAATCCTGGTAGGTTCTATCCTGGTGTTCATCGGAATTTTCCGGCGTTGTGTCCCCTTGTCAGTGGTGCAGGACTGAGTATAAGAGTAGACCATAGCGCCGCGGTTCGGGCAAAATTTCCCTCATATCACACTGTATGACGTATAACCGATTTCATTAGCCTAGCTGGAGCAGAACCGTAGGGCGTTAAACCCCATTTCATTTTCATTTCATTTCTATCCTGGTAACAGTAACACTATTTAAGTTATTACCCCTACGGATTAATGTCCCTGTTAATGTCCTTTATAAAGACGTTTAAGAATCCAATGCATAATATTATCAACTGTCATTCTATATATACTATTGGAAGACACATAAGATTTGTTGTTACATGACCAGCTACAGAAACGTACCGCCGGATACTCGGGAATATTAACACTTTAAGAAAACAGTATATACCACATTTGAAGCCCAATAGTCTCCTTAGATTCTCGACTTTGTTATAAGAATATAACACTGGACCAAAGCAAATAAAAAGAATGGAAATACATTTTGTTCAATGTAAATGAATGGGGTATTTTCTTTTCGGCCATAAACTGTTGCAAATTGATAAGTCGGAATCCCGTACAGACAATTTAACGATTCCTTCCAACATAAATGTCTTAAGGCCTATAATCAAATGTCTCGCTGAACACCAGTAATGATAATTATCCGTTCCAATAGTTATTCTACAAGCTAATACCGAGCTCTTCATCAACATAGCAGGTCATCATTAGACCCATGATGACGCTTAATTGATACGTCACAAAACAACTCTATTACTATAACCCGTTTCTTTTAAGCAATCAGAGATTCTTTTATTTACGGTAAAAGGGAGGTAATTTAATTAAGACGCTTAATTGATACGTCACAAAACAACCCTATTACTATACACCGTTTCTTTAAAGAAACCAGAGATTGTTTTATTTACGGTTAAAGGGAGGTAATTTAAATGTCAAGTTTTTTTTAATCTTATCGTTTAAGAGAAGCAGCATGAAAGGAAAGGTTATCATGAAATGGATAACTTTCCACTCTCTATTACATGTAGATTTAAATAAGCTCAGTTTTCACGTGTTGAGATAAAAGAAGTTGGCATGTGTTAAAGAAAACCAGGAACATACGATTATCTATCGTCTATTTCAAAATGCAGTGTTTATATTCATGCAAATCACAAGTAAACTTGATGCCAAGAGCCTGGAGCTAGCTTGGTCAGGAATTTCATAAGTTCATTACAGTAGCATTTCTTTTTTGCAATAATAAAAGAAAAGCGGTAAAAGGACTGGGGTGAATCCAGATTCACGCTTGATCATATCGAGTGGAGAAACACTGAGAGGGAAATGGGGTTTAACGTCCACGCTACACAAACCTGGTCATTTCGAGATTAACATATGGTTCAATTTTATTTCAATAATTCGCTTGCGCATAGGGGTCTTTAGCAGTTGGAGGAAACCGGAGGACCCGGAGAAAACCCACGCGGTTGGACAGACGACCTACTCCTTGTCACGTACAACAAGGGGATCGAAACCACACCAGTTGACCTCAATGACAGACCTTATGATACAACACGCACGCGCTAACCATTCGACCATCAAACCACCACACACAAGGAGCCACAGTGGTCAGTGAGTATGACGCTAACTAGGACAGGGTGTTAGCCAAGAAAGTTCCTCGCGATTTGCTGAAGGAAGATCTGGAAACAAAAAAGTCTAGTCATTTGGATGGCACGAAAAACGAAGGAGTCGTATATACACCATTGGCAGCTGGTTAAAGGTCAGCAAACAATTTTAAATCGAAATAAGAATAGGTCGAAGCACAGCTGACAAGGCACGATTTTCACCTAATCGCCATTAGCACCTTTGGATGCAGAAAACTAATTCATTAAGGCCAATGTAATTTCATTTTATTACATTCCATCGGTGAAAAAAAGTAAAACGTTAAATCACATGTACTTTAATTAAATTTCATTTCACTCCATCGGTGAAAGGTAAAAAGTTAAATCACATTTAATTTAATTCAATTTCATTTCATTCCATTTATAAAGTCAAGAGAATATTCCAATAATACAGCAAAAAATATGCCAAAGAGAGAGAGAGAGAGAGAGAGAGCATGCCACCTGACTCAACAAAGACCTTAGGATCTAATGCGCCGGCATTCGGCCACCCAAAGCCACAAATAAAGTATTAATTGACACGATATTACAGAATAGAATTGGTAAGTTGTATTTTAAGCAACATTAGTTTGTATTTCGGGACTAACATATAATTCGCGTTTAGGGGTCTTTTAGCAGTGGGGTTGTGGGGGGGGGGGAGGAAGAAACAACGAGGTTTGACGCCTATTTTACTCCTTATCATCTACAAGTGTGGGTTTGAAATCATGTCACTTCACTCATGTAATAACAAAACACACACAAAACGGTGCAACATTAGTAGTCTGACTTGCCAACAAGAGGTTATTTGGGTATTTGTGGTTAAAAAACAACATTAATCTTCTGAAGTACGACATTCAGATTCGAATAATATCAATACATTTCACAAATATCCAAAACAATCAAATCACACGTAAATGTGAAACATTCTAAAAAATAATTGTCTCACCATCAGCTTGATAATCGACATCAAAAAAATTATCACTGTCTGTAGAACAATAATAGAACAATAGAGAAATGGAGTTTAACGTCCTACTGTTCTGCGCCAAACTGGGCTAATGAAGACGGGCATACGCCATACAGTGTGCTATGAGGGAAATTTTGCCTGGACAGCGGCACTACGGCCTACTCCTATATCGAATTCCAACTGTCAAGGGATCTTTTACGTGCACGCCGATGTGTACACGGGACCCCGGTTTTTCGTCCCATCCGAACGACTAGACAGCTGTCCTTGTCAGGCCCTCCGCCCTGAATCACTGACAGGGGGCAACCAGAAATGACGTTGTTATTGTGAAGTGGACATTTAATTTTAGCCAACACTTACGTGTAGCTGGAGTATTTATATCGTTGGTGGATGTTCGATTCATCTAATCTCATGCTAGATTCCCACTGTCGTGCGCTGTGTTACGATAGGACTGTCCATATTGAGCCCACGATCTGGTACGTGCAGATACGTTCGGATACGTTTCGATACGATCAACATGATTGTTACGACTGACCTCAACGTATGATAAGATCTGATAGCATTATCACGATTACTCCACGATTAAAACCACGATTTCAATAGTAGCGTCAATCGTGATAGTCGGAACCTAGCATTAGCAGATACTGAACCATTTGGACCGATTAAACTTTTAAAGTTTCTACTTTCACAATATTGCAGTTTGCCAATCTTTCGAAATCATTCATATGCCGCATACGACACTGACTATTCTAAGCATGGGTAATTTTACCAATATTGCTAAAATTGGCAACGCCGAATATCAATTTCGTGGCCGAATGCTTGCGGTGAGTAAAATTTCCAAATATGGAGCTTACCTGCACATGGTGTACTTGTAATACACAATCTTTTACTCATAGGTTTAGTTTCTTCTGGACATCCGCCATTTTTACAGTTAACTTGTCGGAACTGATACCCTTGACCACAGGTTACCGGACACTAAATGTAACGAAAGAGAAGAAGAGAATATATAAAATTGTAGATAGTATAGAGTAGGTTTTATATAATGGTTTCTAAATCATTTAAACAAATCCCAAAACAACTTTAAAAGGTCATGTTTTAAACGAAATGAGGTTTAACGTCCTACTGTTCTGCTCCGATCAGGCTAATGGAAACGGACATACGTCATACAGTGTGTCATGAGGTGGTAGCAATTATATTTTTTACAGGATCTGCACAAGAAAGTGAGACAAAAATAGGCGCTGTAATGTTCGAATTTTTGTTCTTGAGAAATTAATCTGGAAACATTTTAAGAATTGGAAGAATTAACATGAGACGTGTATGACTTCTTGCTTTCTGAAACACATTTAATATATATCGTTAGACAAGAACCATACGTACCAGAGACCATTCTTCAGGGATCCATTCTGGACACGCCCCACCTTCACATGGCGGTAACATATCTTTATAAATCTCCGTACAGTTTTCACTAAAACACTCCATGGTCATCTCATGTGGTTGCCTATCAGCATCACATAGCGTGTTCACAACATGTTCATCCGTGTTCACATCTAGACATGTAATATTCGTTTTCTGATATCCTGTCTAAAGGAAACAATATTATAGTACAGTTTACTACACGACTACCATTTTGTTTTATTTTTCAACCCCGTCCATCAAACAACACTCATGCTGTTAGATCGCAACAACAAAAAATAGCACTTTCTGAAACTGCCATCCATGTCATGAACTAAAGAAGCAAAGGAATTATGTAAGTCTGTACCATTAAAGAGAGAAAGAGAGAGAAATGGGGTTTAACGTCCACTCGCCACAAACTAGGTCATTTCGGGACTAACAGATGGTTCAATTTTATTCCAATAATTTGCTTGCGCTTACAGTCTTTAGAAGTTGTATCCGGAGAAAACCCACGACAGGCGACCCTACGCCTTGTCACGCACAAGCGGGGAATCGAAACCACACCACTTGATTCAGTGTCAGACCTTGTGATTTCACGCGCACGCGTTAACCATTATCTCACCATTGTTTTGATCTAAGGACGTAAGATTTTAATGGGGACTGAATGCAAAACAATCGGCATAATATATTATGTTCTAACTACATGGGAAAATTTAAGGAATACAATTGTACCATATATGTTGATCCCGAAACAACCTAGTTTTTGTTGAGTGGGCGTTATACCTCTATAACGCACACTTTATAAATGTAATATAATAATACCCGGATGATATCGAGGTGAGTGTGAAGCGACATATCATTACAATAACGGTTGAATACGGCTCTCTCTCTCCCTCTCTCTCTATCTCTCTCTCTCTCTCTGTAACCATGTGGTGGTATATAAAGCGCGACATATAATAACGGCTGAATACGGGTCGCCTGGCTTACCTCGTGAGTTGTATCCCCCCTCCCCCACCGCCCTCTTAATGAAAACGATTAACATATAATAATACACGGATGATATATGGGGGTATATGTAAAGCGATATATCATTATAATAACTGGTAATTACAGAGGAATAATCTAACCCCATGCATATAATAGTTCCCGACATGTATTCAACAGTTCGTTGATGATTTATGAGATATAGAGTAATTTACAAACGGAAATCCAACTGTTGTTAGATCCGAGTCGCTGCATGATGCAAGTAACATGAGTCGAGTGAAATAAGAATTGCATTTGTACTGGTATATATTTATTTTTTAAAGGGGTTAAGCTATAGAATAAGCAGTCTTGTCGGCAATATTATTTCATTGCGGAAGCGGACGTTGAATACTGTTTTTAAGCACAGATATTACTTCAAGTGATTCCACTTCATTGACCTCTCAATTTACTTAATCTTTTAGTTGGGAGCCACTATGGCTAAGTGGGTAAGACGTTGGCTCGCTAGCCTGGAGGTCGTGTGTTAGCTCCCGGTATTGGCCGAGAAAGTTCATCGAGATTTTCCAGTGGTGTTGAACACTCCAGATTGAGCAACATTTTACCAAACCCCTGCTCAATAAAGTTCACCAGGGGCAACTCCAGATATACACACTGGAAGTAACAGACTAGTAAGCATGTAACTAGCCGCCTTACATTTCAACAAAACCAACCTTTTAACTCTGTAACCGGTTGAAGAAACAATCCGTAGTCAAATTCGTAACCATTAAATGGGATATTAGTCATATTACAATTACTACGTTCGATAACTTTACCATCGTGTAGCGTACATACATAATATTTTAAAAATAACATCTAAATTTGTATAGCGCAATAAATCCTCTTATTAGGAGTAATAAATACTCTTGCAAGGTTGAGTTATACGTTATGGTTTTATTTCATCCATAGTGTTGTATAAACAGCTGAGTTTTCGACCTGGTTTTCAAATTTGATCAATACTTGTTGTAAACTGTATGAAAACGATATTTCTAAGTATTACATTTATTTCTTTATTCTACACAGACAAGAAACTCATTACCAAATATCTAGACCCGTCGGAAGTCGAGTTTCGTAGATTTTTCTTCTTTATCTGTATAACTAGCACAGAGCTTTGGACCTGGTTTTCAAAGTTGAGCAATATTTGTTTTAAATTGCATGAAAACGATATTTCTAAGTATTACATTTATTTGTTTATGCTACACTGACAAGAATCTCATTACCAAATATCTAGAATTGTCGGAAGCCGAGTTTCATAGATGTTTCTTCTTTATCTGTATAACTAGCACTGACAGTAGTAATATATTAACTGCCAGATATCTACCTAATTTGTCAATACATATATTATTTATTTATATACCTATTAGATTTATTTATAGCTACAATGTTTATTAAGTCTGTGATATATACAGTAGGTATTGTGTATAGTTTTAAGCACACCTGCAAACTATTCTACGTATCTTAATTACATAGATTCTAAAGTATGTCAAACAGATTTTGATATAGGTCATGCAGTTTAAAGCCGTTGAACAATTCTTCTATCTCCAATTAGTGTTTATCCCCATTCGACTACATCCCATATCGAATACATCCCATTTCCACTACAAATTTTATTAGCCCCAAATCCTGACCCCAAACTAAGCAGCACTGAACTATTTCACTGATCAAGGGATTTGTTCAATATAATCATAATCCGTTGTTATTAGCTATAGTATAGTTTGGGGGTTGTCGTAAATTGGTTGGGGGGGGGGGGCACCCCCTATTGCAATGCTATTGTTGTACATTCAAACACTCCAACAAAATTTGTTAGTCATATGAACTCTTCATACGCGAAGTGGCATCAAGTGTTCTAAAAATATAAAGCATATCTAAACCTGTGCACGGCACCTGTCACTGTTTATAGGCCAGTGGTGGCGTCAGGATTTGTGGCTTAACATACTTATAAAATTCCATTAATTCGACAACCTATCGTCGCACAATACTAGAGTTCAATGTTATGATTTTAATGGTTAATACATGTAGATGTAGATGGGGAATATACAGAGACTCATTTGCCTGGGTTTTGGTGTCAAAGATAAAGAGGCAGTATCATTCGTGAAGGTTTCCTCCGAACGACCCCTATACTGCTAAGTGACACTTGTGCAGGCCCGTGGCTAGAGGTGCGATCCAGTGGGGGGGGGGGGGTGAGGGTAACAAGAACCTTTGTGATACCCTGGCTATGGGCCTGAGCTTATGTTGTCCCACAGGATCAAAATGGAATGAAATGAAATGGGGTTTAACGTCCTACTGTTCTGCTCCTAACCTGGGCTAATGAAGACGGGCATACGCCATACAGTGTGCTATGAGGGAAATGTTGCCCGGGCAGCGGTGCTAAGGCCTACTCTTATATCGAATTCCAACTGCCAAGGGATCTTTTTACGTGCACGCCAATGTGTACACGGGAACTCAGTTTTTCGTCCCATCCGAACGACTAGACAGCTGTCCTTGTCAGGCCCTCCGTCCTACATCACTGACAAGGGGAAACCAGGCTGGAAAATCTTGATGAACTTTCTCGGCCAATGCAGGGATCGAACACCCGACCTCCAGGCCAGCATGCCAGCGTCTTACCCACTTAGCTACCGTGATCCCCCCTCCACAGGATCAACTACACATTCACCGACATTTATTTTGTGAACAATATATATCAATATTTCCCAATCGGGGCCGCTGGGCACTTGACACCTCTGGGCCGTGTCATATCTAACTGAAAGTATTATACATATTAATATACCTACACCACAAGATGTAGAACATGGCAGCCATTCCATTCGCCATTCGTAATTAGTTCCGGAAAAACAATCATCCTTAACAGCATCGTATCCAACAATATCATCGCATCCTATTGGCTGAAATACAAATGTAATCTTAGTTAACTCTGCGTGCGTAAAATTTTCAAAAAGAAATCAAATAGGAGTATAACGTCCTACATCATTCAGTGTGATATCCGGGACATTTTACCAGGAGGGGGGGGGGGGGGCGTTTCCGCGAATTTGAAATGTCACAGAGTTCTTTAACTTGCACGCTATTGTGTATACGGGACCTCGGATTTTAGTTCTATCTGAACAAGGAGAAAACCATACTAATCCAGCGTATTACTTATTGAGCCACAGCGGCTTCGTCGAATTTTAAGTCGGCCACAAAAAATACTAGAGGCTGGCATGCTTTGATTAAACTGTGCTCCCAAAATTTAACCGTCATGTTTGTGCTGTATTGGGAGTGGGGTGGTCTAGTGGTCTAACGTGTGTACTTTATATCATAATGTAGGTCATTGACTCAAGTGGCATGGTTTCGATCCCATGCTTGTACTTGAGTAGGTTAGCATGTCCAACCTATTTTATTTTTTCTCGGTACTCCGTTTTTATCCACTGCTATTGCCCGGGCAGCCGTGGTACGGTCTACTGGATTTCGGGTGATCTTACACGTGCTGCCAATAGTACACACGGGACCTCGATTTTTCTTATCTTCCGAACGACTAGACGTTTTTCCATGCCAGGTCCCCGGCCCTACGCCACGGACAATTGAAGACCGGAATTGAAAAACCTGCGGAACGTTCTCAGCGAACTTAAATCCAAATGGGAGGAGTTGTGCACATGCCAGGGTATGATTACTAATTCAATAACACTTTTATGTGATTGGTCGAAACAACACGACAACAATTTAAAATACAGACACTCGAACGTGCTTTGCAATGAAATATATCACATTACGCGGGCTTAAAATTTCAACTAGTATAAATAATGTACGCTTGGCACACTGTCCATGCCATTATTTGAAATAATGGTACGCCAACATCAAAGAATGACGTCACATCTGTATTTTAAACATTCGTAATATCAAATTATATAATATTATATGAGAACCTTACCAAGCACTGTCCACTGATACAAACATCATCTGCGCCATCTTTACATTTTGTACCATCCGCGACCTTGTCAGAAAATTTATGACGCAACCAACCTTTTGTTTCTTTAGTTTTACATAATAAAGCACATGGTTGTAATGGGTCGAGTTCCGGTATCCATTGATGGATTACTCCGCGCATTGGTTTTGTATTATGTACAGTACACTGTTCAGATCTCCAATCTACACTTGTTTCTAAACATGGCTGAAAAATAAATAATATAAAGTATATTTAACTAGAAATGAAATAAAATGAAATGGGGTTTAAATCCTACTTTTGTGCTCCGAATTGGGCTAATGAAGACGGGCTTACGCCATACAGTGTGCTTTGAGGGACATTTTGCCCGGACAGCGGCACTAGGGCCTACTCTTATATCGAGTTCCAACTGTCAAGGGATCTTTTACGTGCACGCCGATGTGTACACGGGACCTTGGTTTAACGTCCCATCCGAACGACTAGACAGCTGCCATTGTCAGGCCCTCCGTCCTGCATCACTGACAAGGGGGAACTACGCCGGAAAATCTGAATGAACTTTCTCTGCCAATACAGGGATCGAACACCGTGACCCCATTTAACTAGAATGATGCTTCGTGTAACTGTTAGTACAGATGGTGACATTTATTGAAACTCCTTAACAAACCTTCCCATTATCTAGTTTTCCTTTAAAGACCCCCACCCACCCCCACGTACACACTGTGTGATAGGATGATATATTTGGACTCAAAACATATTCAAACTAATTTATCTTTCAAAAGTTTACTTTGCATCACTTTCAAAACATTTTAATCGCAAGAAACTACCCTTAGCCGTTAGAAATATATCTTAAGCAGCCTTGGTTGACGGAATGATAGTTAGTGCTGTCCTGCGGGGGGGGGGGGGCAATGATTAGCGCGTGCGCGTTGTATCATAAGCTAGGTCTGTCATTGAGTCAACTGGCTTGGTCTCGACAAGGAGTAGGGCCGCCTTCCGACCTCGTGGGTTTTCGCCGGGCCCTCCGGTTTCCTCCCACTGCTAAAGACCCGTGCGCGCAAATTGAACCATATGTTAGTCCCGAAATTACCTAGTTTGTGTCGAGCGGACGTTAAACCCAATTTTTCACTCTCTAGTGCTGCCCTTACCGGTTTATAAATGATTATGTACAAATGATTGGTATAATGTTAGTAAGAGTCCAGTTATACTCCCAGTGTGTTAGTGATTTAGTTACGTCAGTGACTTTCATCGGTATTTAGGTTAAACCAGGGCCGTAACTAGCTCAGAGAAACAAGGGGGATGGGAAGTGTTCTCAGGGGTGCTGTAAAATTGACGGACAATGTATATCTACGGACCTGAGTTAAACAGATACATAATAAATACTAACCTCTTTATTACATAATTTATATTCATATTTTATACCATTATTACATGATTGGTCAGTCTGTAAACAAGACACTGTACGATTAGCTAATCCGGTATCACATGATCTAGAACACTCACTCCACGTGGTCTGTGTATCGCTAGATATGCTGGTCACGTGCATCCATAACAACACCTGAAATCATAGAAATGTCGTTAATTTATATGTTATTACAGCCTTAAGATCTGACTTATAAATACAACATGGTGAACTACATCTAGATACATTTTCACTTTCTATTAAGACAGGGGGGTTGGATGGCCGAATGGTTAGCACGTGCGCGCTATAAAATAAGGTTTGACATTGAGTCAACTGGCGTGGTTTGGATTCGTTGGTCCTCCGGTTTCCTCCCACTGCTAAAGACCCGTACGCGCATGCGAATTATTGAAATAAAAAATTCCACCATGTGTTAGCCCAGAAATGACCTAGTTTGTGTCGAGTTGACGTTAAACCCAATTTTTCTCCCGTCTAGTCGTTCAGATGGGACGATAAACCAAGGTCCGCTGTAGACGTTGGCATGAACGTACAGGAACCTCTGACAACTGGAATTCGGGCCAAGTCTCCATCCCAGCACACAACATTATTAGATTATTAGATTGGCGTGCACGTAAAAGATCCCTTGGCAGTTGGAATTCATTAGCCCAGTCGGAGCAGAACAGTAGAACGTTAAACCCCATTTCATTTCATTTCATTTCATCTATTACGACCGTTGTAGATCATAAAGCCATGTTTTGTTGTCTGTAAAACAAAATTTAATTTCCAAGGGGTTATTGTCTCCAATTACAAAACCACTCACTCTTAAACATACATTATGCAAGATGTATCTAAATTATCTAGATGTTATCTAAATTATTTATTAGACATTAATTAACTTATTCAGACCATAATCAACTCTCGGTGTTATCGTTAGCCTGCGATATTTAGTCGATTTGAATAAATTTTGTGATGGATAATTTAACGTAAAACTGGATAATCGAGACTTTGTTTATTATCGTACCAACGTCAGTAATCACTCTCGAACTGAATCACTAATAGCTCGGTTCAGAATGAAGTAATTTGACTAAAATGTTTACCATATTCTGTTTTCATTATTTATTTTTTAACTATTATAGCGAGAACTGTCGGCTCTTTATCTAATCTTCCATTATGTCCCTTTAATTGATTGTTTAGTTTTTTTGGTATTGTGGAACCACGGTGGCTAAGTGAGTAAGCCACTGGCTCGCTGACCTGGAGGTCGCGGGTTCGATTCCGATGTTGACCGAGGTCGCTGTCTAGACAAACTTTCCCTCATAGCACACTGTATGGCGTATTCCCGTCTTCATTATCCCAGTCGGAGCAGAACAGTAGGACGTTAAAAACCATATTTTATTTCATAGTTTAGTTGTCTAACATATGTTTTAGTTCCTACAAAAGGAACAGGCAAACTGCTTATGTGAGTCCCCATTGATTGCGAGGGTGAATTGGTCCCCAAAACTCGAAATAATTGCCACGAAAGAGTAAGCATCAATTTCTCGGTTACTGTGCGTATGTTTTTATTCCTGGAAAATGGGCCACCCTTTTTTCTTTATAAATTGTTAAAATGCAAGAATGTACTGGGTAATTATTATAGATTGACAGAAAAGAATCTATTGTTTAGTTTTTATGTAGATGTATTTTGGGTTTTTTTTAATATAAAGTACTCGCTGACGCTGTAGAATCACCAAAAACTACAATGTGCATTTTAATTTATTTTACCAACTGTTTTAAAGGTGATTTTTTTGTATAATATAAATCTTGTTGGAAGAATCAGCTTACAGAACCAGATGTAAATGATGTACACATACATGTCGAACATGTGTGAATTACTTTTTTTCTTTATTGAATTGAAAATACAGTGGTGATTCAGATTAAAATGACTTGCCTTCTTCAAGGCCACTATAAACGTAAGTAGTACATTTGAAAATCTGTTTGTTTCAACAAAATGAAAATCGCCCATGGATCAATATCTACCAATTGATCAAGGCTTTCCGGAAGTCCACATGAAGACTTGAAGAAGGCACGTAAATAAGGCATTGTAATATTGAAGGAGCTAAATCGCTAATATTTGGGACCTAGAAATTGACACAAATGGGTCGCCACGCATATAATAATGTAACATGAATGTATATAAACGGACATACATTCAATCGTTTTTGTTTGTACTCTAATTTCCTATGAGGTATGTTCGGCGAAATACGCTAGAAGTCTCTCTCGAATGGCAATCTCTAGTGTCTGGTTATTCCAGTCTACACCGATAGTATTTATTGCACAGCATGCTCTCCAGATAAGAATATGACGTCCCCGTTTAACATGACTTGTAGAATATGTCTAGCCACGGTCTTCTAGTCCCATTTTTACTAATGGCACTAAAACTTATTGTGTACCAATGGTAAAATGTTTATTTTGTCTTTAATATTGGATATCAGAAGCCCATCGTCTCCCGGTAAGACCACAACATCAATGTTGATTTAAATTGACAAATAATTCGTGTTTTCAATGTCGAAGACTTTGGATGATTTTGAGTTAGAGACTTAGCTACTTTAATTCATCTCCGAGAAAAGCCTCGCCTGTGGATCAGTATCTTCCTGAAAATTCAAACAAAGGCTTTCCGTCAATTCATCTCAGTGAAAATTAAAGCTAGGTCATTTCGGGACTAACATATGGTTCAATTTTATTTCAATAATTCGCTTGCGTCTAGGGGTCTTTAGCAGTGGGAGGAAACCGGAGGACCTGGAGAAAACCCACGAGTTTGGACAGGCGATCCTACCCCTTGTCACGTACAACCGGGGAATCGAAAGCACGCCAGTTGACTGAATGACAGACCTTATGATACCATTCGGCCATCCAACCTCGCCTACCTAAAAGGCCAAATCACCGGATCATATGGTTCAATAGACAGTGTATGATTTTCCAGGAACACCTGATACCACTTATTTAGAATAGTTCTGTATTGTACTTTTGTATTTATCATGTTTCATAAATTCCAACCGTTATGTATTATATGTGTCGATGGTAGTTCGTGACATATGAATGTTGGTTGAGAACTTAATATAAATACTGTGGAACCTCCTTATACATCCAATTAATTTTTTACCTGTATGTGGAACGTGGGTTTCTAGCCTCAGGTATACAGACAGATGGCGTTTACAATAAAAGAAACTGATTAAACACAGAAACGCTCTATATGAGCTCTAACCTGGGCTAATGAAGACGGGCATACGCCATACAGTGTGCTACGAGGGAAATTTTGCCCGGGCAGCGGCGCTACGGCCTACTCTTATATCGAATTCCAACTGCCAAGGGATCTTTTACGTGCACGCCAATGTGTACACGGGACCTCAGCTCTTCGTCCCATCCGAACGACTAGACAGCTGTCCTTGTCAGGCCCTCCATCCTGCATCACTGACTATATGAAATGAGGTTTTAAATAAACACGGATAAAACGCTCGATCTCAGAAGGGTCGTACTCCCATTGATGACAGAAACTCAGAGGACATGGTGGCTCACTAACCAGAAGGTTCCGGGTTCGATCACGGTGTTGGCCAAGAAAGTGTCCACTTGTTGGTGGTGCAGGACGTTGGGCAAGAAAGGGTTCCAAATATCCGAAATGATATGAAATGAAATGGGGTTTAACGTCGCGCTGTTCTGCTCCTACTGTGCGATGAGGAAAATTTTGCCCTGTCAAGGGATCTTTAACGTGCACGCCAATGTATACACGGGACCTCGATTGTCCATACCACCCGAACGACTAGACAGCTGTCCTTGTCAGGCCCTCCTTCCTGCACCACTGACAAGGGGAAACCACGTCGGAAAATCCCGATGAACTCTCTCTCTCTCTGCCAACGCAAGGATCGAACACGCGACCCCCTCTTATCCACTTAGCCACCGTGGCTGCAAGGACGTTCGGCAAGAAAAGGTTGTAGTCGATTGGATGTTCCGAATATCCGAGGTCCCGTGTATAAGTTGGCGTGCACAAAAATAACCCTAAGCAGTTGAAATTCGGGTAGGCGGGAACACAGCTGTCCATATTCCCTCACAGGACACTGCGTGGCGTATCCCCGACTTTATTAGCCCGATGACGTAATGGGACCTCTGAATGAAAACACGCACTTCAAATATTAAATCTTGTGTAAACATTCGGTTTAGATTGTACATTTAAAAGTTAACTAAATGATCGATTTTTAATTTGGCTAATGAACACTAATTGAGATAACCATCACCAGCTACCTTATCATATCGGTACAAATTGATATTGATGACCATTTGTCTGAGTAGCCCTCTAGTTAATTTCTGTAAATTTAGATGTTGCTATGTAAAAACTTAAGTAGGAATAAATAAACCAAACTAATTTAAATCGATTTTATCTTTTTTACAACAAATCGTGATCGTTAATTTGACGGATCGATTAAATTGTCTGATTTATACCACCTCGTGTTAATACATTGCAAATATATTCTCCAAACTAGAATCGATCTACTGTTATAGACAAAACCACAGCGGTTAGCTACCGATACATTCCGTAACTACGAGGAGTCTCGGTGGCCTTACATTATAATCCCTGCTGTGCCCCAAAGAAGTGTCCCGCGGACTTCCGTTCTATTCGTTTAGATGGGACAAAAAACATTTCGCTTCCACCGAAGGTGATATCACTGACAAGTTGTCTTATTTTAATTTTTTCTATTATCTATTCCTATGGAAGGAAATCGGAGTAAACCCACGCGGTTGAGAAGGTGCCCCTATCTCCTAGCCAGATACGCACACACCTGGGATCGAAACCACAACCGCAAGCCAGCGGTGACCGGCCAGATAGAGGCCGAAGCGCGACGCCAAAGACCACCCGGCCACGTCAACCCCATCAGAAGTGTTGGCGTTTTTAATATGCGGATACACCACTGTCCAAGTCAAATTCCCACTGCACACGTAACTCGATAAAACAAACGTCAGTCTCATTTCAGAGAAAGGCACTTAGAAAATAATGACTGTCGTATCGGCCCTGATTCGAATTCTGGACATAATTTCACATTTTGGCTTCGATCTAAACAAATGAAATTACCTGAGGTTTGACGTCATACTGTTCCGCACTTACCTGGTTAAAAAAAGTGGTGTGTGCGCGCGCG